AAAGGGTTGAGCGTCAAATGCGCCATCCTTTGACTGAAGGTTTTTCACTAAGCGGGGGGGAGGGGGGTTACTCTTCCAGCAATTATTTAAAATTTACAAGTGATGACATACTACTTCCTATATTTTGACAGGAAAAATGGAATAACGGAACAGTTTCTTTGAACGGATTGCGACTTATGTTGCAAATTTTAAAGCTGGTGTTGATACCGAGCAAGCCAATGACCTTTCACTACCACACACACACAGCCTTATGAAATTGTAACACGAATTTTTTTTTTATGAAATAAATATGTCAGGTGGAAACGTGTGTTGCATCCTGGGTTAATAACACTTGTGTTTGCGATCACTGACTCACCTCAAATCAAATGCAAAATTATAATAAAGTAATATCCTGCAGCAGGGTTTCTCCCTCCGAAACAGAAAATTTTCAAGATCTAGAAGCAATTTCTACTTTCTGACATGAAAACTACAATGGCATAATGGGACTACATTCTGACAGCATAACTACAATGATATAATGGGGCTACATTTTGACAGGACAACTACAATGGCATAATGAGATTACATTCTGACAGTACCAGTAGAATGACATAATGGGACTACTTTCTGACATGAAAACTACAATGGCATAATGGGACTACATTCTGACAGCATAACTACAATGATATAATGGGCCTACATTCTGACAGGACAACTACAATGGCATAATGTAGTCCCATTATGCCACTGTAGTTATCCTGTCATAATGTAGTCCCATTATGCCACTGTACTTGTCCTGTCAGAATGTAGTCCCATTATGTCATTCTACTGGTACTGTCAGAATGTAATCTCATTATGACAGGATAACTACAGTGGTATGATGGGGCAGATTTTTATTTGATTTAATATACAGCGTGAGAAGAAATTTTACGACAGTAATGATGTCAAACGGAAACATGCTGTGGTCAGAATTAAGGAAAGCCAGAGCACACACACTGTGTTGGCTACCACGGTTTTACCTCATTCAAAAATGTTAAATGGTACATATAGTTTAAATAAGGTAATACTCCGCAAAGAATTGCACGTGCAATTGTTAAAGAATAATATTTCCAGGTCCATATTTAAATATTGATTTATTTGTTTTCTAGGTGAGAAATGTTGTCCTTTAAACTTACGTCTAAGTCCTGTCGGACCTGGCGTGACCTAGTGGCTAGCGTGCTTGGACTGTGTACCCCAAAATTCATGGTTCACGTATGTTACCACAAAAGAATCGCTTCATGCTTTGAGGCCGTGTGTGTGCTATAAGAATGGCAGTCAGAATTCCACTGTTCGATTAGACAAGAGCAATGCAAGAGTTTGGTGATGGGTGCTGATTACTAGTTTCCTTCCTTCCAGTCCATCAGTTTAAAATTAAATACGGGTATGCGCTGATAACCCCTCGTGCAGCTTTGTGCGAAAATTTGAAAACAAACAAACAAAACGTAATGGGTTCTACAAAAGAGAAAGGAAGAAATAGGTTAGATGTGTATCACATTATTAGCTTTATCCTGGATAGAAGTTCTTACCCATCATAACTTGAGGTTTCCGTTGTCGGAGCTACGACGTTTCAGTTGCGATGTAAAAACTCCCCTCACCTAACTACAAATTATACGTACGTGGCGGGTGTCCTATGACAAGTCATAAAGTTGAAAATGATTAGACCACGTGGTTTTCAATGATCTGTTTATGTGCGACTAACTGTAGTAGCTCTGATAGGTAAAGTTTAAACGACCGCAAGAAAAAAGAACCGTTGGGAGTTTGGGTATCTACTCATGAGAGCACTGGGGGTGTGGAGGTGGGGGTGGGGTGATTCTTCTTAAAAAATATATATATATATAAATGCAAATAGT